AGTTTTGTTGTTTGTTTTTTTATTTTCTATCCGGTCTCTCAGCTCGGGTTGGCCCCACAAATCTACCAGGTCAGCAGTTTCCTGGTCGCTCCAAATCAATCGCATTATTATTAATTAAAATTTGAATTAAGGTTTATGAAAAGTAATGATTGCGTCTTGATTGAACACACATGAAGAACTCGCGGGTTTTTTTTATTCAAGAACTTCTAAACGCAACGGCGTCATCGACTGTGATTGGTCGACAGCCGACGAGGAAATGTCAATCTCGGTCACGCCATGGTCAATATGGGTGCTGAGCCGGGGATCGAGATAGGTAGATTGAGATCGAGGTCACGCCAGGCGCGAGTCGGTGCAGATGCGGTCACATTACGAAAATCTCACCCGCGGTGAGTCAAGCCAGGCTTGAAACTCTAGTGTGACCGTAGCCTAAGTGAGGCAGCCTTCATGAAGTAATTTGTTTATTGACGCTCGTTTCATTACGTCATAGGCCTATAATACATCATTTTGTTATATCCAAATTATTGTACTTTATAAAACAATGAAGAAATGACAAATTCCAGCATTTTAAAGACTAAAGCCCTGTCCAGACTATCAAATTTTAATTCCAGCATTTTAAAGACTAAAGCCCTGTCCAGACTATCAAATTTTATTTGACAATGACAAATTCCAGCATTTTAAAGACTAAAGCCCTGTCCAGACTATCAAATTTTATTTGACAATGACAAATTTCAGCATTTTAAAGACTAAAGCCCTGTCCAGACTATCAAATTTTATTTGACAATGACAAATTGCAGCATTTTAAAGACTAAAGCCCTGTCTAGACTATCAAATTTTATTTGACAAAAAACATGTAACATGCCTGAACATGGTCATTATGACATCACATCATGACCATTAGGCCTTTCTAATTCTCTGCAGATAATCATCAACGCATGTTTAGCCTCTGTGTGAGGGCAGTTGCTGTGAGCATAGAGCAAAGAAACAGTGTTGTCAGATGGACCAGTACACCGGGGTAACCCCCTACTCGTCTTGAAAGATGTACTGTGTTCCTTATAGGGCACAAGCCAATTGTGTACACTGGGCTTTCCTTTCCGAGTAGATTTCCTCCGCCGCCAGAGCCACAGGCGAGCGTGCCGTTCGAACCAGCTCCGATATTATAGATGTAGGTTGCGGGTAATTAACCTTAACCGTTCGGGCACATCATGACTATATATGGGCATACCACAGTTGTTTTTTTGTTTGTTTGTTTGTTTGTTTGTTTGTTTTTTTTTTTTGTAGCATGCGATAGTGTGGACAAGGATTAACTTTGTAGGCTATAGGCCTATCCTGTATATTCAACACTGTTTAACTATATAATGGCTTTATAACAATATCTTTTCAAAACAATTGAATAGAGTAGAATAAATGACAATAAGACAATAAAATATGCAGTAAATATTATGGACCTTTTATAATTAATTTCAGATTTGGTTTGGTGACAGCGCTTCAGGCCTATCATGCGCTTACGTTACGCAAACTGCTAGTTAAAATCTCCTCTTCAATAGGCCTTTACTAAGCCTATACAATATGTATAATATACACATTGGTTTTAGTAATACATTAAATCTATGAAGTGGCTGTAATGCAAACTAATATGATCCACTTGAACACTTGTTATAATTGACAAGATAGCTTGACAAATACTCTTACTGAGTTTTACCTGTATCAGAATTGCTATTGTGTCACGTTGCGTAGACCAATACTAAATTCCCTTGAAATGCATATCAAAATCAACAACACATCGAAATGTACTTAACAACTTAGATATTGTATCACGCACGCTTTCACTTCAATAAACGGGGTATCATGCCTACTACCTGCCTATGTTAATGACGCTGTTAATAATAATAATAATAATAAGACATTGATTATGGACATGGTAACGATGTCTAATGATAATGATGATGACGATGATGATGACGAAGATGAAGAACATGATGATGATGATGGTGATGATGATGATGAAGATGAAGAACATGATGATGATGATGATGATGATGAAGAACATGATGATGATGATGACGATGATGCTGTGTGTGAATGAATAACTTTCAACTTTCCTTCATTGACATTCATCAAAACATAATTATATCGTCAAATTGAATTAATTCAATAATTAATTGAATAAATAGAATGACGATGATGATGATGATAATGTGGATGATAATAATGACGACGACATGGAGTGAATGAATGAATGGATAAAGTGAATGAATTAATAAATGCTGAGGATGGCAGGCCCAGCTCCCCGTTTTGGTATAGATTTTAAAATTTAAATGCATAACGATGCTATACATTGAAATAATCACTACTCACTTATCTAAAAAATGTTGTGTCCCCACCCCCTGGATCCTCTACTAAATGGTAATTATGATGAGGACAATGATAATGATGATAGTAATGATGATGATAATGATGATGATAATGTGAGAGGTTTGTGTCTGCTATAGGCTATAAGTAGATTTATTATTATAAATAGGCGTATGCAAAAACTCATACGACAATAGCATTCATGAATGGAGTATTTGCGAGGGGTACCTGGTACAATTAACAAGTGTTTCGCAAACACTAATAAATCATGCCATATTATTTAATTAAATAATGACAATATCACAATAACAGATTAATTATATTTGAAAACTTCATCACACGCCATGTGACGTTGATAACATGATGCATATCATTACCATTTGAAGAACTTGTCAACCAATCACTGTTTATCATGAATAATCAAAACGTCTCCCAGTTTTGTATAAATAGACGCTTTGGGTTATAGTAATTAGAAGCCACTTTCATTTGATTTTGAACGTGAACATGGCCCTCAAAATGACATCCTCGTCGCTTCACCAGACGCTACTCCAAGCTGTCTTCATCCTGTTTTTAAACTTCTTACCAGCGATTGATTCATCCGAATTTACGCCGGAGGAGGCAATGCAGATTGTGGATAAACACAATGAGTTGAGATCACAGGTTCAGCCTGAGGCGGCTAACATGCGATATATGGTATGTTAGATACTTTTTCTGTATAATAATTAATTGAACAATTAAATCTTTTAATTGGTCCCTAAGCCGCCTGTACGGAAGATACGCCACTGATATTCGGTAAATATATGTTTTATCAAATAATTGTTATCTAGTTTTTGCTTGATTTTTTTTTAGATAAAAATTTAATTTTTTAGAACTTAGTAGATGCATTTTATTACTGTTACAAACCTCCACACACCAAATCAGTCATAAATAATCTGTAAAGTGTATCATAAACATTTTTCGATTTTGAGGCCATTTACTAGAGCCTACCATCTTTTTGTTTGATTAAGCTTTATCAGATTTTATGTTACAAATAAATGTGATATGCCCATATTTGGGAGTTATATGACATCTTCAAGCCCATATATGGGCACATCGCACAAATTTGTCACATAATATTTAATAGTTTGGGCAGAGCATTACATATTTTTTTTTATTTGTTAAAATTTTGCCACTGCAGTACCCCAAGATGGTATATTCACATTAGCTCGTATTAGGGATTATGATTTATCGTCTATATACACTCATATAGGATTATCATTCAACTCTTAATTATTGTTGACGAGAGAGAGTGCAGCCTTAGAGAGAGCAGCTTAGCTTAGTCGGCTAATCTGGTGGTAGCCACTGTGTGTGCGCTGAACCGTGGGGATCTCTAGGTCCCCGGTTCAATTCCAGTAGCGCACCGTGCACCGTAGCGTAGTGCACGTTAAAGAACACAGTACACTCTTCAGAAAAGAGTAGGGGATTGTGTCCCAGTGTACTGTCCAATCACCACCAGAAGGACCCCACTGGAAATAAGTCTTCTAGACTTTCGTGGGCTATCCTTGATGTTTACACCGAATAAATCCAATCCAATCCAATCCAATCCAGTTGATGAGTGCAAGATGGATACCTCTTTTAATATTATTTATTCGTTCTCTATTAAAAAATAAATAAATTAGACGTTGAGCTTATTATATCGGACTGCTCTGATATTAGTTATATTTTCTGTTTAGGTGTGCCACAAGGGACAGTGTTGATTGCTTATTTAATTATTTTACCTTACGGTATATACACCATGTTAATAAAATGTTATTGTAGTTAATCACGTGGTTAATTAAACGTTTTCGTATTTTGTCAAGCGATTAATTTAATGTTATCGTATTTTGTACAGACTTTTTGTCCAGACTAAAGAACATTATTAAGGAATTATGGTATTAAAATTATATTAAAATATGGAAATATTCAGTACATATTGTAGTTTCTGCATGGATAATTGGAATTAATATTTAACACTGGTGTTACAGGCGTGAGTAATCGATTCACCGGCTGAAGTGTGAAAAAGTAAGTTTTCTTGCATGAATATTATATGTAATGTATATTTAAATTTGATTTTCAAACTCTAATTTTATTTTTCTATCATGTTTTGACATTTAGAACTGGGACCAACCTCTGGCCAGTATGGCGCAGCAGTATGCAGAGCTATGTATCTGGGACCATGGCCAGGTGGAGAACAACACCTCGTCATTTTCTCCAATTGGGCAAAACTTGTGGCTTGGAGGTGGTAAGCCCACAAATTCGCCAAGTGGTCTGAGTGCCACACAAGCCTGGTATAATGAGGTTCGATACTACGACTACAACTCGCGCAAATGTTCTGACGGTAAACTGTGTGGTCATTATACTCAGGTACGTCTTGTGGTCCGGGGTACCTGTCATATAGTGGGGACGGTTGGTGCAGCTGTTGCCTTTCGATCTCTTAATATCGAGGTCGGGGTTCAAACATTCGTTGTTCATTTCTCTTGTTTTACCCATGCTTTATCTAAGTTTGTCTCTGTCCATGGGAGTATCGGTTTGAAACACTTGGGAGGTTTAAATGACCGCGTGGAAAGAGAACTGGCCACGCCTACCACACAATGCCGAGGCTTAGTACTATATAATCAAGTCATACTATGTCTATATAGAGCGTATCGCTCACTAGAGCTGAATTCAATAAATAGGCCTGTGTCATTATTTTTTAAAGTTGGTTTGGGCCGAATCTTATGCACTTGGCTGTGGACGTAATTTTTGTGAAACAGCAGTAGAACCGTCAAAACCTACAAGACCCCCAAGAACAAACGTCTGGATAATAGTTTGCAACTATGGATTGGCGTAAGTTAAAATACTGATTATGTCTAAATATTATTGAACTACTTAATATGAGTATACAACAACAACAACAAGGATGATTATGATGATGATAATAATAATAATAATAATAATAATAATTTAATCATCTACATAATATATATATATATATATATATAATCTATTTTTTCAACACATTTTTTAAAGATTGTTATTGTCTGTCGTGTTTATTTTTTTCAAAGGGTAGGCGGCAGGCGGTAGGCCTGTTGCCACCTGGCCTTTTCTGTGTGAAGCATGGTTTCCCTAAAATTGCTACCCTGTCGCTACAGTGTTTTCAGTGCAATCGTTGTACTGAGTAGCTTAACCAATCTGTAAGTCGTTCTCAATGCTTATAACATCGTGACGTCAGACCAGCAGTGACGCCAGAAATTTGCCGACAAGAGGTCCGCGGTGTCCGACGGAGGGGTCCGAGCCAAGGCGACGACAAAGCCTTGGTCATCAGACCGGAATAAAAAAAATAATCACTGTTAGGTTTCATGGTAGAGTTTTTATAGATAAATTTGGTCCTAAATGTGCTTTTAGACCACGATATTTGGGATTGGCAATCAAAATAGCATTATTTGAATAGACAAATTATTATTTTTTTATTTTTGATCCGACGACCTAGTCGTTCATCGGACGACGGGGGGCAGTGGTGTATCTAGAAACCTTGAAACGTGGGTGCTGATGGAGGTGCAAAGGTAAAGTGGGCGGGGGCTCGATGGTCAGTTGAGAGGCGCTAATTTGGAAAACAAGGTGATTTTTAACTACTTTACTGTTATTTTTGGGGGGCAGAGGGGGGCAGAAATTTTTTTTTGAGATACGCCACTGCATGGGGGTCCAGGCCTGTCCGACGAGTGGGAAAATACCCACCCTGCCTCCCCCCCCCCCACTGGCGACACCACTGCGTCAGACACGTTAAAAATATGAAGGAAACTCAATTCTACTGGCACTTAAATTACCTCAATGCCTTCATGATCAAGTGGTTATGACGTTGTCTCGGGATCGAGTCTGTAGAGGCTGGGTTTTTTCTCCCCCCCCCCTCTTCTGTCACGTTTCAAATTATATATTTTTATATCTATATTTATACATGTATATACACCAAATAAAAAATACAAACTAATGTTTTCATAAACATGTATATTTTATAGTTTGCAGACAAGTCTGCTATAATTGTGGGACACTAGACGAAACAAGCTGCACTTGCGCATGTCAACAAGGCTTTATAGGAGGAGACTGCTCAAGTAAGTTTATTTATTTATTTATTTATTGCATTACAACAACCGGTCGACTGCACTTCCTAGTTATCTACTCCACCTTATCAAATATCTCTCTGTATTCACTCCAAGTGGAAGAAATCACCGGGAGCCAAAATTCATGTGACATCATCAATACCAAAAGTATAACCACTTCGATCCTATTGATGATATAGACATCGATCCGCTCCGATCGTTTATTGTCGAAAATGAACCAGATATTCGTTCACCCTGCTTTGTCCCATGCGCGGCATAGACGGTATATTAAACGAATAATATATAATATTAAACTGTACTAGTACCGGTAATGAATTTGATGATAATATAGAAACGTTGTGCGTTTTCTACGTATATCACGTTAATACCTATCTTAACTAGATTAAATATTTACTTAGGTCCATGTGAAGACACTCACAGGTATTGTGGGCATGGCTGGTATCGTCCACAGTGTAGTTACTATCAGCCAGCAATCAATAAGTGCCCTAAAATGTGCGGCTTTTGTGGTAAGAAGATAATTATTATAATATATTATATTAAGCGACAATATTATAATACGGTTTCAACATATGCATATGGTTATTGTGTGTAGTACTGTGACTCGGCCTATATTCAGCTTGCGTCTCAAAGTACAATTAAAAAAAAAAGAACACATTTTATAAGAACACTGAGGCTGAAATTGCTTAAAAATTAAGAACAAAATAAGAACAAATTGAGGCTGAGGTAAAATTTCCAATGAGATTTTTATTTTTAAAAAAACTTAAAAATATATCTGTACCTTATGTGCAGTAGGTGTGACTATGTAATACCCTCTATAATACAGTACAGGAGGTGTATACCTACTTGTCATTTGGGGCCATTTTTACCGGGGCCTTTTTTCTGGGGACGTTTTTTCAGCGCCCTTTTTTCGCGACCCATTCTGTTGGGATTACTTTTGCTTTCGGTCACACTGATCAAATAAAACACAAGACTGCATGATAGCGCTTGGGTATTATTTATTAGAAAACTCGATTGCTCTGAACAAACTCACTGTTCGCAAATAATGCCCATCATAGATTCTATATGAAAAAAAATGACAACTTTATGGGAATGCATAACTAAAGTTCCATATCCGGAAGCGGACTAATAATTGTTCCGTACGTTTACATTATTGACTCTAATCTATTTTGTTTTAAAAATTGTGAGTCGTGTTGACATAGGGTTGGACACCTTCTTCGACTTCTTTCTTTCTGGCGCCATCACAGTATTAGCGGTTAATTTAATTAAGGAGCTATACTAAACATTACATTGAATTACAATTTTAATAAAGTGGTTAATTATGATTTTGATTTTTAAAAAAGTGGTTAATTATGATAACGTGATTAATTATAATTGTAATAATAATGATAATGTTAATTATAACAACGTGATTAAAACGCTGTTTATTCATTTTTATTGCAGTTGATCCAGATCCTAATTTCGTTTGTGGTAAGTTGGAGATTAAATTTATTTCAATTGAATATTTTAATGCATTTGTGTACAACAATTCTTTAATTTAAAGGACAAAATGCTGTACATGTCACGTGTTTAATGAGCAACCAATCGTTTTTCTTTTATTATAGAAAATCCATAAGATTTGGAGAAATGAATCAACTGACACCCGCTACAGCTCATCGCATTTCCACTCAATTTAACTTTTTGATGATATCATAATTATGCCTATACTGGAGTTGATTTTGCAGTATCGAAATAAATAATGATGCATTTTGAAAGTGCGTTTCATATTGTCGACTTTACTTTAACTATTGTTGTGATAATAAAGTTGCATTTATTGTTGGTCTTCATAAATGGATAAAAATAGTTACGCCAATCATAGACTGCACTGTAGAAGCCAACAATCAAATCAATGTTGCTTGGCAGCCTAGTACCACTATATATTTTACTTCTCAAATTAATAGTGCATCGTACCCTGACACTAAGAGTACATAATTGTATTGTTAAGTTATATTTAACAGTTGTTCCATGTTATAGAGATTTCAATGGCTTTAGAATATTTTCTAAAAAAATGGTTTGCCCTTTATCGTAAATGCTGGCAGCAGATATTTAAACTAATCTTTCAGCTATACAGAGCATAAAAGAACAAGACAGCATTAACATATTTTCAAACTGCTTTTTTTACATGCGATACAACACAAAATTCTTTTTCTAAAGTAAATGAATACAAGAACAGCTTTTAAAGATTATACAGTTAAACAGACTTTAAAATTTTATACAAGAACGCGCCTGATAGATAAAATATTTTCTGGGTCAAGGTAAGATGCTTATGAAATTCATAGATATTTGTTATATTAAACTTTGCCAACTGTGTTTTATCCTTCTGAACTTTCTTGTTTTAGAAACGCTACACTGCATCCTGGATACTTTGCTGAATAATTATTAATGTGACTATTTCCCCATAAATAATAACAATGATAATAATAATAATAATAATAATAATAATAATAATAATAATAATAATAATACAAAATCTATTCCTGAGAACACACAAAAGGCACTTAAATAAATTTATTTACTGCGAGTTAAAATAAAAATGTAAGCTACAGTATTGTTATTTTGATTCTTTGATGGTGGTCTGCCACAATACAGAAACTTAGTCAAGTTTCTTTCCTCTACTTACTTAAAACGTTTAAGGAAATATATATAATGTTATTATTGTTATATAGGCCTACAACCACCAATAATTCAAGGTCAACCGAAACGAAGTTCACCACATCGCCTACAATACATCACCATATACCGGAACGTTCATGTCAAACAACATGTAGGCCTACAGTTAAGTTAAAAAGGACAAATTAGAGTTTCAAGCTATGTCTCATTTGGAGATACCTACCTTCCATAGGCATCTCATGTTTTTGTAACCAGCATTTATGAGACTAATTTGTGGATACTGTATGTCATATAGACATTTTATTCGATTTTTTTGTTTCCACTTACATCTGTTTTATTTTGCGTATATATATATATATATATATATATCTGTCTCTTA